TCGGCTTGATATGTATTCATTGTGTTTGTAAAAATGATAAAATTCCAAAAATATTTGCATGTGGTATTGTTTTGTGTGTATGTTTATACTTTATAACTCATATAGTTCTTGRCCCTGTATGAATTAGTCTTTTTGCATCTTCGTTTGTGCGTTTGTGTTAACTGGATCGTGATTGTTGTTGTTGTGCTGATGTTATTCTCTGGTCAAGAGGGGGGCGGGGTTCATAACCCCGGCGTGYGGTCGACGTCCTAGTAGGACCCCCCCTTGCTAATGATCACCATGCTGACCTATTTGCACACCCCGGGTCACTGGTGTTGAGGCAGAATCAAAAAGATCAAGTGTAGTATCTGTTCTTATCAGCTTAATATCTGATACGCTGCTCATTGAGTAGCTCATATATTAAACTGATTTTTGGAACTGGGCTGTGGAAAAGAGGCTTGCCTCGTCCCAGCCACGGGTTGTCTCGGTATTGCACTACCTCCGTGTACGGCCCACTTCCTTCGGGAAGATTTTCATCCAACAAAGAAAAACCAAAAGAAAACAACATGGAGTTTCTAACTTGGCCTTCTTGTTCTCTATCCGTAGTAGCAGCTCCAAGGCCAGGTGATCAGCTAATCCCACATGGCAGAAGTCATTGATGGACGAGGGGTGAGTGGACTATCAAGCATACTTACCTGACGCGTTAGGTTGAAGTATCGCCACTCTTTGAGTGGTTTTTTGTCTATTTTTTGTTTTGCAGAGTTCCAGAGTGACTTTCCAGATTAGAAGCAAGATTGTTCTGTTCAAGCTCTGTAGGAAAGAAGTTTCTTGAAGTTCACAGGCTTCTGCGCCTGCGTGTTTCCAGGGTGTTCTCTCAAGTGCCATGGCTTCGCCAAGTTACAGCGTGGACAGGGAGATGACCTTAACTCTTAGAATCCCTCGACGTTTTGCTGATGAGGGAATTTTCCCCACTCGTGGTGTGGTTCTCCAATCTGCTCTAGAAGTGATCATGGACAAAGGAGTCCTTTTGTGTTTTCAGAGATTGTCATCTTCTCATTATGATGTAACTTTCAAACCGGATAAGAATCATGCTCRTGACCTTCCCTTGAATTCTGGGGTCACACTCCAAGGAAACCATTTGTCATTTTTTGAGTGTGACCCTAAGTCCGTATCAGTTACCATTAAGAATACACCGGCCGAGGTCCCGGATGGAAAATTGAGTTACTGCGTGGTTACGGCGAAGTTCTTAATTCAAAGCATGTCTTAGATGAGGAAGGGGTGTGGATGGGAGACCGCCAGGTAGAGATGATACTGACGTCGGACATCCCTTCTTTGATTCGTCTGGGTAAGTACCCTTTGGTAGTACGTTACAAAGGCCARAAATTGTGTTGTCATTTCTGTAATCGTTGGGGTCACGCAATTTCTGAGTGCCCCTATAAAATAAATGATCTATGTATTCGTTGTGGTATGGCGGGGCATTCGGCGCGCTTTTGTTCACAACCCTGGACCATGGACAATAGCCCGGTTGTGTTTGAGCATTTTCATGTGACTCCTACACCTGAGGCAGCCTCTCATAACAGTTCTTTAGTAGTGCCTTCTGCTTCTGATAGTCAATCTAGTATTCAAACTGCTTCAGATCCGGTCACCCCTTCTTCTTCTGTGCGGCATTCGCCGCCCAAGAGTAATAAGCCCCGTAGGAAAAAGTCTAGGGCCCACCAAGAAGATCCGAAGGCTTTCGAGAATATTACTGAAGAATTTTCCATTAATGACCTACCATTTGCTCCTGAAGTCTCTCAAGATCAGCCGGACTTAGAAATACACGCTCAAGTAAACAGATTTTCTGCACTAGAGGACATGGACCAAGGTCCTTCAGATTCTGTTCCTGTTTTTTCGTCGCAAGAAGCCTCTATCCCAGAAGTGTCAAGTGCTATAATCCCTGCTATTGCTCATGTTATTACCAAATTACCTGCGGGACCAAAGCGTCTTGGGAAATCTGCTTTGCCTGTTGTTCCTGTGCGTAAGCCGACTGCCCCGCTTAGGCCTTCCACTAAACCCAAAAAAAAGTAATCATGTTTAAATTTCTCTTTGAGTTGCATAACCTCTTTTTTCTTTATTTGTTAAAAGTTAAACGTTTTAATACATGGTGCTATTGTTTTAAAAATATTATGTTTATAAAAGTTTTATTTAATACAGTTGCATTTAAAAGTGTTATAAGTAATATAATTAAAAAGGTGTTATTCCATTTAGTCACATTTAATCTAATAATTTGTGGTATTTATTTTGCATTTGCGAAATTTGAATGTTTTAAAAATAATCATTTTATRTATGGTTTTGTTAAAATTGGATTTTAATGGTTTTTCTGAGTTTTGTGCCGTTCAACTCTTTTCCAATCTTAAAACATGGTTAATTTTTTGACTTTAAACGTGAATGGTCTTAGGGATCCTCTAAAACGACAGTCCCTTCTTTCTTGGATTTCGTGTGTGACGCCTTCTTTAGACATCGTTTGTCTTCAAGAAACACACTCTGTTAATGATACCGAACTTCAATCTTGGTTTACAAATTCTTCTTTTTCTGTTTTGGGTTATCACCAATCAAATCATAGTGCTGGTGTTTGTATTTTGTACAAGTCTTGTTTTTCTCTCCATAATTTCCGTTTGCATCATTCTGGACGCTTTGTCATTGCTGATTTCCAATCTACTCTTCATGAATTTCAAGTTATCTGTGTATATGCACCAAATCAATATTTGGATAGGGTCTCCTTTTTTCAGGATCTCAGTCAGTTTTCTGATTCCGCTCTGCCTGTTTTTCTTATGGGTGATTTTAATTCTGTTTTTGACCGTTCTCTTGATTGATCATCTTCTTCAAGTGATTTTTCTGTTCGTGATGCTTCAGACATACTACAAAAGCTTTTTTCTGACTTCARTGTTGTAGATGCTTGGCGTTCTTTGCATCCTGCTCTTAAATCTTTCACATGGATCCGGCCTGATGGGTCTTGCTCTTCACGAATTGATTTGATTGGTGTTCCAGCCCATTGGTCTTGTTTCACTGTTTCTTGTGACATCCTTCCTTGCCCACATTCTGACCATTGTGCAATAGTTCTTTCTTCTAATATCCCCAGCCCTGTTAAAATGGGTTCTGGTTTTTGGAAACTAAATATTAGCGTTTTAGAGGATCCCGAGTTTTGTACTGTCATTAGGAATGTTTGGTCACGCTGGACATTAAGAAAACTTGATTTACAAGATCTTCGTCTGTGGTGGGATCTTGGTAAACAATGGATTCGAACCATCTCGATTCGATATTGCTCTTTGTTGGCTAAAACAAGACGACAACAACGTTCTTCTCTTGAAAGTCAAGCTCTCCGGCTAAAAACTCAAATTGATGCTGGCAATTCTTCTTTGTATCCCCGATATAAAGCTATTCTTAGTCAAATTGCCAAGTTGGATGCTTTAAAGGCTCAAGGTGTGAAAGTTCGTTCACGTGTTCAATGGGCTGAAGGGGGAGAGTCTTCCACTTCTTTTTTCTTCAAATTAATTCATCAAAGGCGGAAGGAATGTACTGTGTTTACTATTAAGAATGATGCTGGCCAATATGTGTCTTGTTCCTCTGACCTTCTGAGTGCTTGGCAAGAATTCTATTCTGAACTCTTCTCTGCTGTACCAACAGATGATGACCTTCAAAATATAATGCTTAGGAAACTTGAGTCCCGTCTTAATACTGAGCACTCCCAACAGTGTGAAGGACAATTGACCTTTGAAGAATGTTTGAATGCATTAAAAGGAATGTCTCATGGCAAGAACCCTGGTTTGGATGGTCTACCAATGGAATTTTATCTGTGCTTTTGGGACTTACTTGGGCATGATCTTGTAGCGGTTCTTAATCATGGTTATTCCCAAGGTCAGCTCTCACTTTCTCAGCGTCGTGGTACTATCACTCTTGTTCCTAAAAAGGGAGACTTACGTGAGCGGAAAAACTGGAGACCGATCACTCTTCGTAACTGTGATTATAAAATTGCTTCACGAGCTATAGCTGGTCGTTTGCTAAAAGTCTTATGCCACGTCATCTCTCCTGATCAGACTGAATCAGTCCCAGGTCGTTTCATTGGTGAAACCATTTTATTACTTCAAAATATTGTAGATTATGCCTCCTTAAATAGCATTCAAGCTGCAATTCTATCTCTTGATCAAGAGAAAGCTTTTGATCGTGTAGACTGGACTTTTCTCTTAAAGACTCTGCGTTGTATGGGCTTTGGCTCGAGTTTTTTGAAATGGGTTGAATCTTTCTATTCTGGAGTTCTTTCCACTGTTCAAGTAAATGGGCTTTTTACTCCCTTTTTTTCATTATCTCGAGGTGTACGACAAGGGTGTCCCTTATCACCATTACTTTATATTATTACGGCTGAAGTTCTTGCTGCCAACATTCGCGCTTGTCCAAGGATCGAAGGCTTTCCTTTGCCTGGACCTGCTTCTCCTCAATCTGTTGTTAATCAATATGCGGATGACACTACGTTGACAGTCATCACTGATGATTCTATACGTGCAGTCTTTGATATTTATAGTCTTTATGAAAATGCTTCCGGTGCTAAGTTAAATCCCACCAAATCTAAAGCCTTATGGTTGGGACCTTGGACCCATCGTACTGACCCTCCAGTTCATCTCTTGTGGTCATCTGAGTCTATACCTTGTCTTGGTACCTTTCTTGGTCCTAATCTGTCACCCTCTGTTAACTGGGATAAGCGTATCACTGGAATGTCTAATGTTTTCGATCTTTGGCAACAACGCTGTTTGTCCTTTCAAGGCAAGTCTTTAGTAGCTAATGCGCTAGCCCTCTCTGGTCTTTGGTATACTGCTACAGTATTGCCATTGCCAGATAATTTATTACGAAACATTAATTCTGCCCTTTTCAAATTTATTTGGTCTAATAAGAAAGAGCTAGTGTCACGGAACACTATGTATCTGGGCAAATTTAGTGGTGGTTTCAAGATTGTTGATGTTCTTTTGAAAGTTAAAGCCCTTCATATACAGTGGATTAAAAGGCTCATTCTCTCTCCTRATAAGTGGGGTCTTTTCTTTCATTACTATGTTCAACGAAGCTTCGGAGTAACTGTTCTGGAAGTCCTTTCTTTTCCTGCATTTTATCCTGCTTTTCTATTACCTCCCTTTTTTGCTTCCCTTGTTGAATCTTGGGCTCTTCTTGGAGGTCATGCACGGGGTAATCTTTTATTCCTACCTCCAGATGACAGAGGGCAACACCGTCCTCTCTCTGTGTGTACCACTAAACTATGCTATTTTCTTCTTCTCTGCAAGTCTACTGTTCAACTTCATTGTGTCACCAAATTTGCTCCAATATATGGCCAGTTGTACTGGGATGTCACATGGAAACAGGTACACGTCATGCCCCTAGATCGATATGTCATTGACACCAATTGCAAAATTGCACATGGTGTTATCTACACAGCTGATCGTCTTGTCTCTTTTGGAATGATGGTAGATCCCATGTGTTTCTGTGGGGTTGAACGGGAAAC